GGAGTGGGTTTTGGTTTGTTTTTCTGGTTTGTTGGGGGAAAAACAAAGCAGAGACCAAGAAAGTCCCTGCTTTCAGATGACAAAACAGACAGGCCATGAAAGAGGGGTGCCACTGAGTGAAAGAATTGTGGCCCATGAGCCACCTGCAGTCCCTGGAGCCTTTTTGCATTCCCTGGCTCCCCACAAGTAAATGGCCCCAAATGGACTAATTCCGAAACATTTTGTGACCCCCTACATCATTATGGACATTATACATATAAGTCTTTCTGAAACAAGAAGTCAACTGGACAACAACTTTTAGTTGACTTCCTGTTTTAAGAAAGACTTCTCCTGGGCCTTAGAGAGCCAACAGGGGCTAAAGAAGATCAAAACCACTCCCCATGGCCCTTGGGAAATTAAAAAAAAATTAAATTTTAACATTCTAAAAATGGGGTGGGGCACAGCAGGAGACTTCAATCCTCCAAGGTATCATAGAGGGTTAAAGCAATCCCTGGTGCCCCTGGGGGTGCTTTCACAGTGCCCCCCATTCACTTGTGTTAGGGGCACAGGGCCCCCATTAAAGTGGAAAACCAGCAAATTAAAAAAAAAAACATTATTTTTTAATCTGAGAGAATACATCTATAGGAATCTCTAGGTCCTCCAGAACAATTCTGTGGTCAATATCCAGCAAAAGTTGACCACAGAATCATGCTGGAGGACCTACAAATGCCTAGAGAAGTATTTTCTTTAGGAATTGCTAGGTCCTCTGTGTGACTCTATGGTCAGCTTCTAGCAGAGTTGCACTGGAGGATTTAGAGATTTCCAGAGAGGGCATATCAATCAAATCTGCAAATAATCAAATCAGTAAATGTCAAAGCTGCAAATTTGGAAGGTCAGCTATATTCTACATGGCAACATTCAACTGGAATTGCTACTTTTACTTACTTTGCACAAAAGTGGAATATAAGCCACTGTACTTTTGTACTTTTGTGAGTCCCTCCACATCCACAACACTCAGAGCACAAAATAGCACTTGATTCACAAGGTACTCCTGCTCCACCAGTTAGTGAGGCCACACTCACAACAAAATAATTAAGCTATAGTTATACTGCAAAAGATGTTAAATTATCTCTTGTTAATTTACAATCATAATGCAACTTTGTTATACTTTCATTATTGGCAAGAAAGAAATGAAATGAATTACAAGTTGCTCATTATTTATAACTAGTTACTTCTTGACCCAAAGATAGCCAGGCTTCTCAAGAAGTTTTATGCATGCTGTATTAATCATCTTTGGGAAAAGGATGACAACTGAGGGCACAAAGAAAATATTACTAGTGAATGAGTAAAGTTGAAAGTAGAGTTAGACAAACAGTTTTGGTTACTGGTTCCAGAATGCAAACAAATTAACACAATCATGAATTATCATTTTTTAAAAACAGTACGCTGAACGTGAAGTTCATCCAATATCTGTCATCTTTTTTAAAAAAACCCAAAGCAAACTTTGTGGGAAAAGTTTGAATATTCAATTGGCTCAGCTTCACGAGTCACAAATATGAAATGTCATGTTGTTGTTATGATCATATAAAGCCAATTTCTTTGTAGACACCAATCATTCTCAGCATGTGGGCTACTGAAGTTTCACAAATTGTGTGTTGGGTTGAGGGGGAGAGGATACTGGGCTACGGATTATGTTTTCCCAAAAGACAAGAGGGATTTGGAGAGAAATTTACCAACTCTTAGTTCTTAAACCACAGTACATGAGCTTTCTGTTGAAAGAAGGATTAAAAAGAAACACCAGCAAATAAAACAAGAAAATACCAGGCATACTGGATTTCAAAGAAGACTAGTTTTATCTCTTAATTATTAAAAATGCACACTGCCAAGCATATCAAGCATGATCATAACAAAAGTCAGATTGAATTTTAGCAGGAGGAGAGAGGACCGAGAATGTTTACTGGAAAGTCCTGTTCCACAGACTTGTTTTATAAAAATTTGGAAGCCCTTCCAAAAAACTAATTCTATAGCTCTCAGGAGGTACAAGATAAACTCTCACATTTTACAAAACAACAAAGGAATAATGCAAGTGCATGTGTGTGCATGTGTGCATACACACACACACACACATACCTATCTTTAAATAGATCAACAGTCCCTATGCAAAAAGAACATGAAAAGGGTTTTAACATCTAAAGCAAATGGCAGTAATAATGATTTGCTCTTATCAGGGAAAATTTCCACTAATAAGCACTAAACAAAACAATTTGGCAGCTGTGCCTCTAGTCCTTTGTGAGTTGAGAAGGAAGGGGGAGGAAAGGAAGGGTTGCTCTCTGGGGTCAAAACAATTGCTTGTTCCATACAACAAAGGAACTTTTTGACAAATTTTGAGAACAAAGAATTGGATAGGACAAAGGTTCCATCCCTTCTGTGTCATCTCTCATTTCCGTAGTTTCTTTTTTCTTTTAACAAAACCATCTCTGAAAAACACATACACACGAAAAAGTCCAATGACACTTCACAATGCAAGACTCAACATTTTTTGGCTTGAGAATGTGCACACTTAAAACATTTAAAAGCCAACTGAAAGGCCCTCTCCATTCAGTGTGCTTATTGCAAGAAGGAAATGATATTTTTTCTCTGTTCTTCCAACCTAAGCCCCAGTTAAGGAAAGAGAAAGAGGTATATTCATCACACAGTCCCAGATGCTCTGGGCTTTTATTCAGAGGAAAGCAATGGCACATCACCTCTGAGTTTTCTTGCCTACAAAAGCCCTACAAAATTCACAGGGTCAACATAGCAATGCAAAATCAAAGCAAAAGCAAAGCAAAAGCAGGTTCATTTATATACTGCTTCATACGGTTTACAACTGTAAGCATAGGTCAATAGGCAACTTGAAGGCACAGACTAATCTTAACAAAGAGAAAGAGTGCCATTGTGATATGGTGGTTTGAGTGTTGGACTAGGGCTGTATCCACATTGCAGAAATAATCCAGTTCTACACTACTTTAACTGCCATGGCTTAATTTTGGAAAAATTATACATTGCATTCTCTTTTCCCTCTTTGGTTAGATAGGGACTTCCTCTCTCCTCACTCTCTCATTCTATCTATCAAACAAAAATCCATCAGTAATACCTTTATTGGCCAACCAAAATGTGCAATATACTTTTTAGTTGGCCATTTAAGGTATCACTGATGGAATTTTGTTTGAATTTGCTAAATGGCCAACACAGCTACCCCTGAATGTATTCTATCTATCAGTTTTACTGACTCTCAAGATTCAAAACTGTCTCTTCTCAGTCTTAACAGTCAGTTACAGTCTCCCCTTGCTATATAAAAGATGGTAATGGTTTCTATTTATTAAAGCCATTATTGTTTGTTTTTAAATCACAAACTACATATTTGTCATTTTTTGAGTTAGTCTTTATTATTTAGGAAAGCATATTAAAATATAGTCTGGCCCATGTTTTTTTTTTGTTTGTTTGTTTGTTTTGCTGCTCTGTTGATGAAGCTGAACTCTAACAAGTTTAACTTTCACACTCGGATATTTTAGTTTTCCTTTAAAAAGGTTAACACCCTGGGAAACCAAATTTGTACCCTACACCCAATGCTATGGAATTCTGGGAATTGTGAGACATTTAGCCTTCTCTGTCAGAGAGCTCTGGTGCCACAACAAACTACAGGTCCCAGAATTCCACAGCATTTTTTAAAATGGTGTCAATCTGGGTTATTTCTGCAGTGCGAATGCAGCCTAGATGATGAGGGTTTGAATCACTGATCAGCCATAGAAACTCACTGAGAAGGAGGAAATGAACTAGAATTTTTCATGGCAACCAGGTAGATCAGAGGTGAGCAAACAGCAGCCCTCCCAAGTGATGCTAGACTATAACCTGTCATTATTCAGTATGGGCTTTGCTGGCTCAGGATGCTGGGAGCTGCAGTTCAACAAAACCTGGTGGATGACTTTGCCCATCCTAGTTACCCACACATGGGATTAGTCAACTACTTGAAATAATGGATGGGTGGGTCTGTATTCTCCATATGCAAAGAATTGCTATCTGAAATAAAAAAACAATTTCATCCATACATCTCAGCATTTGCAGTAGTAGCTATAAACTTCTCCCTAATAATGACAACAAAAACTGAACAATCAAAACAATGTGATCTCCCAGATGAACATATGACAGATTCCAGTAGTTGTAGCTGTAGTTCTTGAGTGTCTTTTAGATATCCAAATGATGTTTTTGTTGACTCAGACTATTTTTCAGACAACTCCTAGAACCAGGTGCAACATTTTATTCCCACACTCAAGTAGACTTCATTTTAAATCCAGACGAAACCCTCCTTTTTCTCTTTAATTTTTTCTTAAGAGTTATAGTGCATCCATGGACCAGTGAAATGACACTTGTTCACTATAGCTCTACAACTCTTTAAAAGAAAAAGAAAATGAAAGGGGGAAAATGCCCTTCAAATCATAAGAGCATCTCAGCAAACCAGGTGGCTATTTTTTTTAAAAAAAAATGGCTTTGGAAGAGCCCTAATGAAGATCCAATAGGTTGCTATAAACATTCTCAAAAAAGAGTGGAACAAGTGATTGCAGAGGAAGCAACAGCCATCAAAACCCAATGAACTACATGGTGAGAACTTACATTTCTTTAAACCTGTGGTTCTCAAATGGTGTGGTGGGACCTCCAAGGGAGACGCAAGAGTTACTCAAGGGGGACAGGAGACTTGGAGGCTCTGATCCCTTCTCATCCTCCTCTTCCCAAATTTTTTTAGGTGTACCATTTCCACACGCATCGAGTTAAATATTAAATAAAACTGTTCTAATTTGTGCAATGTTATTTCCTTATAAAATGTTAAAATATGAATGTACACCAATGTGCAAATGAAAATATGCACACTAAATAAACAAAAGATTTTCATTCATATACTACATCGATGGGGGGGGCATATACAATCCACAGGCAGATGTAAAGGGGGGTCCCAATAGTAAAAAAACTGAGTACTCACTGCTTGGGGAGACAACATGGCATAGTGGTTTGAGTGTTGGCCTACAAATCTGGAGACCAGGGTTCGAGTCCCAGCTCAGCCATGAAACCCACTGGGTGATCTTGGTCAAGTCACATATTCTCGGCCTCAGGTGAAGGCAATGGCAAACCTCCTCTGAACAAATCTTGCCAAGAAAAAATCTGTGATAGATTCATCTTAGGGTCACCATAAGTCAGAAACAACTTGAAGGCACACAACAACAAACCACTGCTTGAAACTATTTTGAAAGAGCCCAATGTCTGGAATTCAGGAATGACTTCAAGTCTCTCATCCTATCCAAGTATACTAAACAGGCCTGATCCTGCTCAGCATCCAAGATCAGACAGGATCTGGTGCCTTTGGGGTATTTAGGCCCTTTTCCATACCAAGACGCAAGAGATGAGTTCATAGCTGGAATTGCTTGTGTTAAAGAGGGAACTGGCTTTGACACATCAAAAATCTGGCAAAATACATGAAGCTGAGAAGGAAAAGTTTCCTGGCACAGCTAAGCAAAAAGATCTATGTTAATCTTCAGGGGGAGGGGAATGGGGGGAGAGAGAAAAAGGAGGAGAAATGCACAGACCAACAGCTCTGATTAGTACAACCAGATTCACTGAGCCCTTTGAAAACCACACAGCACTTGGAAATAAACCCATCCCTATAATCCAATATTCATCAGAGAAGTTGTCTTTATTAATGTCTTTAAAGTGCCTAAAGATGCTATTAACTCCTTTCCAGACAGAAGGAAATTGTCTTAATTCTCTTAAGCTTTAAATAATACAGGGCATGCATAAAAGACAGAGAGAAAGAGAAGGAATGGAGGAATACACTTTCAAAATTAAAATGGAGAGGATGTAAGAAGAAAGCAGGCACAAAATCCAGACACCCTGATGACAAGAATACCACCATCTTCCTCACTGAGCATATATTTTAAGCATATTTACAAACACAGAGCCCATTCTGGGTGAGCCAGCTCTATCATTAGTCAGAATGAATCAGCTGCCTTAGGCCAAGTCATTTTGCATGCCATGAAAGGACAGCAAAAGTTGTTGTAGGTGATGTTTGCTTATAGATGTTGTGGGTGATTACCACCACAATGGCTCTTATAGAGATTTTCCACTTCAAGGGCCAAACCAACTTGACTGGTTTGGGTTATTATACACCATGACTTGGGGGAAAGGGGCAGGGATGAGCTAGACCAAGTTATTTGCTGCCTGAGGCAAGGCAGCAAATGACCCAACCAACCCATCTGAAATGTGCATTTAGCACCCAAAGTAGGTGTGGGAATTGTGGAGCCCTGCAAGTACTGTTGGACTCTCATCAGCCCTAGGCACCATACCTAATAGTGAGGAATGCTGGAATATCCTGTCCAGCAGCTTCTGGAGATCTACATGATTTCCATCTCTGATCAAATTATTATGGCTCCTGAAGAAGAAACTCCCACAAACAACCTGGCAGTAATAATACAATTAAAAATGCTAACCATGACCTATAAGCCCCTATATGGCTTATGTCCAGATTATCTGAAAGACAATATCCCCGGATAAGTGTAGGCAACTGCAAGCAGGATAATGGCCATTTTCCCTCCCTGAACCCATCTGGCAGGCAACAGCCATGCATTTCAGCACTTCTGAATGCCATTTTGGTGAATTTTCCACCAATTGGGAATCAGCCCATTTTTTAAAAAAAAAAAAATGGGTGATCTGGGTTCTTTGAGGAGCTTCTGGGGCATCCCATGTTTCACATGTGGTCCCCATACATTTGGCAATATTTGTTCCATAATTGTTGCAAAATATTCTATTTGGCAATATTTGTCCAGGGTGGGTTGCCTTTTGTTTGTTCAGAGAGTGTGACTTGCCCAAGGTCTGCCAGTGGGTTTCCACGGTTGAGCAAGGATTGGAACCCTGGCCTCCAGGGTCCACTGAGTGTTGGACACAACAAACACACACACACACACACACAAATACAAAGTAAATAATTTCACAAGTCACTACCCTTTTTGACTGTTGTTGTGCCTTCAAGTCTTAATTCTTTAATTTGTGTTTTTAGGCTGTAAGCAGCTTTGATTCCCAATTTTGGAGATCATCATCATCATCATCATCATCATCACCACATCCACTGACCTATCCTTGGTTTTTCTTGGTAGGATTAATTCAGAAGAGGTTTGTCATTATCTTTCTCTGAGGCAGAGAGCATTTGACTTGCCCAAGGTGGATTTTTGTGGCTGTGTGAGGATTTGAACTCTGATCGCCTGGAGTCCTAGATCCCCTTTTTATACAAGCCAAATCTGCTGCCTGATTCAGCTCACTGGCCTTGGAAGTGGGCAGCCATTTCTCTATTCTGCCCCAGACAGCAAAACACCTTTGGCTTCCCAATCTTAAAATGAAGTTGGAAAAGCAGGCCAAAAGCTCGCTTGTAGCCATCACAGCTAACCACTTTTTCCTCTCCGCCTCACCCGCCACCACTGTGTGACATTTTGCTTGCGTGCAGGCTGGGAGTTAAGAAGCTCATTAACCTGGAAACCTCTCCTTTGCTTCTGAGCTCTGGACAATACAAAGAGGGCCCCTCCCCAGCCCCACAAGCATTAAATTTGCCCTCATTATGAAGACTCTGCTCACAAAGCCCAGCTCCACAAAAGGCTACTGGCCCCAAGTCCCCAACTTCCTTTGTAAACATTCTGACATGCTTTTCACTGAGCTATACAAAACACGCACTCCAAATCACCACCGCTACTCCCAAAAATAACTGTCTAGAGAAGGTGGTAGGGTGCATGTATTTATTATGTGTGCATTTAGGTAGATACAGTCGGCCCTCTATTTTTGCGGGGGATCCATGCTGGGACACACACATCCCCACAAAAACGGAGATTTGCCAATATTTGAGATTTGTGCACCCCATTGATTTTAATGGAGGTCACTCTTCCGTGAATATGCAAAACCACAGACTTCAAGTCCGCAAGAACAGAGGAGCGACTGTATTTTGGTATCCCCATCTGAAATACCGTACTTGCCAAGAAAACCCTATGATAGGTTCTCCTTAGGGTCACCATAAGTAAGAAAAATATAAAAAGGACTGGGAAGCACACAACACCAAAAATATTTCTATCCCACTTTTGATCTAGACATCTCACAGTGGCATACAATGAAACCAATCGGATAAATTTAAAAGAGAAGAAACAATAAAAACTATTGTAAAAGGCTAAAAATGTATTAAACAATTTAACATGTTGAAAAAACAAATTAACTGCTATTAAAATACTTTGAAAGGATTCAAAACCTTTGCATGGGTTTGTATAAAAGTATTCAGGCCCCAAAAGTAACTATATATAGTAAACGTAACGGTATATATAGTAAAGTAACTTAGCATTGGAGTGATAGTAATGTTGGCACCCATCAGGGCCTCCAAAGGGAGGATGTTCATAACTGGTAGGGTTGCCAGATCTCAAGGCACCAGCCAGAGTTCCCAGTTTGGGTGGGTCCCCTCTAGGCAACAGGCAAGAGGTTCAAATTCTCTAGTTTTCATGGAGTCAGCTCTGGGCAAAAGACAAGGCTTCATGCAAATCTCCAGTCAGGCACGGAACCTTCTATCTGGCTATGCAGCTTGCTGTACTTTGCAAAAGTTAATTAAATCAAATGTTGCAATTTTGCAATACGTTCAATTTTCAACCAGGAAAACACGTTCTGTCTATGTGTATGTTAGAATGATAAGTTGTGAGCAACTGTGCTTGCTGCTTAAGGTATATTGCTTAATGGCATTGCCGGGGCCATCTCTAGACCTCATGTTTTGGCCGGAAAACCTGGGATGATTAATTGCCATTAAGTCGACTTCAATGTATGGCAACCCTATGGTAACCTCTATGTGTTCCTGCTACCAATAATTCTGTTCAAATCTTCTAAACTTGAGGCCATGGCTTCCGTGACTGAGTCTATCCACCTATAACACAGTCTTCCTCTTTTCTACTTTGCCAAACATTATAATCTTTTCTAATGAGTCATGTTGTATCATAAAAAGGCCAAAATATGATGGCCTCAGTTTGATCATTTTGGCTTCTAGGGAGAGTTCAGGTTTGATTTGCTCTTTAATCCATTTGCCTTTTAGACAGTCCAAGGTATTTGCAGAACTCTCTTCCAGCACCGGATTTCAAAGGAGTTCATTCTCTCCCTATCAGCTTTCTTTACTGGCCAGCTTTCACATCCATATATAGAAAGCAAAATTATGTTGGCATGGGCAATCCTGACTTTGGGGGGTTGCAGACTGCCAGAAATAGTGCAAATTGAGTCCACTTTTAGGGTTAGGGTTAAGGTTAGGGAATCATGGGGACTGTAGTTTATTGTGGCACCAGAGTTCTCTGACAGAGAAGGCTCAATGTCCCAGAAAGAAAACAATTCCCATGATTCCCTAGCACTAACCCTAACCCTAAAAGTGGACTCAATTTGCACTATTTCTGGCAGTCTGCAACCCCTTACAGGCATTCAGTGATACATCTTGACACCTGGGGATCTAGTGTAGTTCCTTCATAATGCTTGACTGATGCTGTGAGACCAAAGTGTATCTAGAGTATGATCCCACTTTAACTGCCATAAATGGGGTGCCACATCAGCAAAGGCCCTCTTCCACATCCTCTCACAGTGTATAGTCCTGAGAAATGGGACATTTCAACCTTTATTACAGGAACAACCCATGTAATCTCTGGAAAACTGTCCAATGACAAAGTCCTGGTAAAAAGGTGTGACCATCTGGTGGATCAGAGAAGGTAAGACTGGACCTCCAGATGGAACAAACTTGGGCCCAAGATCTGAGGTTCCCTACTTTGACTCTAAAGTGAGTCACTAACCCTAATGGTTTTGTAGCCCTTCCAGAATAAAAATTAAGGCCTTTTTTAATTGGAGAAGAAAATTATTTTATACCCCCAGAGGTCAGCACTGCAAAGGCTCTCCTTTTAGAAGCAGAAGCTTATGATTTTCAAAAATTAGGTCCTGACATTCTTGCATTCCCAGATGGCAATGATGATAGGTGAAAGCTAAAGCAGTGCAATGCCACATTTCATCTGAAAAGCAAAACTTT